TGTTGAAGCATCTTGTTAAAATTTATTAACAACTATTAAGAAGGCTCCTAAGAAATATGTAATTGCTTTTTAGTCATTTGAATATGTTCTTATCACTTAGTGGGTGATGTACCATCAAATATCCCAGTCAGTGTAGCTGAAAATTTTATTTGAAGAACTCAAGTGGTAGGTCAATTTTCTTCCAGAGTAGTTTTGGCATTGTCTCGTGTCATGTTTGCTATTATTAATTGAACCCTTTTACAGAGGAGAGTGGGGTAATATTTGCTGTAAAGCTCTATCCTGCTGGTGCTACAACGAATTCTCAAGATGGTGTGACAGATTTATTCGGGAAGTGTATGCCTGTTATTGAAGAGATGGTTAAACACAATATGCCTCTCCTGGTACATTTGTCACCCTTTAGGTGGATTTCTTTGTCATGCTAACTATGTAAATCAGAATTGCAATGTTGTCTTGTACAGCTGCATTATTGTATTTTCAGAACATGAATGGAATCATATTATTTGCTTGTAATTCCTTTGACAAAGTTTTGCACTAAGTTGAGTTTATGATACTAGATCAATTTATCACAGATACTCTTTGTTGTTTCGGTTCCAGTGAGCTCATTTATGATTATGGTTTTATGATGCTACAGTTGAAAGATATTAAATCTAGAGGCATATGTTGCAATGATACACTGCATGTTCAACTTGCTCTTCTAATTGCCTTAGATTATGAACAATGTCGTAATTCTCATTGACTAGGTGTGGGTGAATAAATTATGGCTCTCTTTTATCACTTAATCTATAAGTGAATCCATTCTACTTGTATTGTAATTATTAGAATGCACAGCTTAAGGTGGTGAGGTAATATGGACACAGAGGCCCACTTGTCTCCAATAACTAGCAGCAAATTGCTTGTGAGCTAATTGTTAAGGTTCTTTGTAGTGTAGGTCAACTGGATGACATTCTTTCATTTGCATTTTGTTTTATGCTATAGCCAATAGAGGAAGGCTATTGTTTACTTAAATGAGGTCTTAATTGTAGGTCCATGGAGAGGTTACTAGTCCTGAAGTTGACATTTTTGATCGGGAAAAAGTATTCATTGAGACCGTTTTAAGCCCCTTGGTGCAGAAGTTTCCACAATTGAAAGTAGTGATGGAGCATGTTACCACTATGGATGCTGTGAAGTTTGTTGAGTCTTGTGCTGAAGGTAACTTTCTATAATTCTTGTTTGGTTGCTTATTTTGGTTTTTGCATTACATGATCATGTTAAAAATGAAATTTTAATTGTTTTGATTAGGGCGTATTGCTGCTACAGTCACTCCACAGCACCTTGTCCTGAATAGGAATTCTCTTTTCCAAGGAGGGTTACAACCACATAATTACTGCCTTCCTGTGCTTAAGAGAGAAACTCATAGTACATCTTTCAACTTTTTCTCATTTTACATATTAAATATCTTCAGATCCTTTTTTTATTTCTTGAGGTTGGCATCATGTGTTTGTTGTGTACGATTTTTTGCCGTAAGAATCTGATTATTCAAAAGGACACCTTCATGTAAGAAATCTAGTAATTTTTATCCACTAATCTTGAAAACCAGGTGGATGAATGATTGCTCTACGCATTAGTGCTGCAACTTGAACATGGTTGTTTGTCATGGTTTGTTTTGTTTTCTGTTCCACTACCTTTCTGATTAGTAGTATGCTTTTTTGACGAAATCTCATTTGCAATTTACAAAACTGTCATTGCTTCATATGCCCATTTTCTCTTCGTGGGATTGAGGCTACAATAAGATTTCGTGATGTCTTGGGGGTTCCTTTTTCATTGTTTTGTTGGTATTTGGGAAGCAACAGAACTTAAGTTTCAATAGTTGTTTGAGACCTTTCCTGGTCTAACCTTTTATTTGGAAATATGGGCAGGAAATTACACACAAGCTAATGGGTGGTGATTATACCTCAGGAGTTTAATACTAGTTGGTAAAACTGCAGAAGTCAATCATTGTGACAATAAAATGAGATTGCTTACCCTATATAGATTTTGGATTTAACTATAAGTCTTACTTGGTACTTAAACTAAATTAGATACTATTGCCTAGTTTATTTTTGGTGATTGAATGATGTAGTGAAAATTCATTACTTTTGCAGTACTTCCATCATTTGTCATGTCTGTGTCATGTGTTTTTCTTTTTTTTTTGTCCTCTTTGGAAGAGGGACAACAAAGCAACATGAAAATTTTACCTCCTTAATACTATTGATGTGTCGTTTGTTTAAAATTTAGGGCAAGCTATTGTATCAGCTGTGACGAGCGGAAGTAAAAGATTTTTCCTTGGAACTGACAGCGCTCCCCATGATAGACTAAAGAAAGAGTGTCCTTGTGGTTGTGCTGGTATTTATAATGCTCCTGTAGCATTGGCAGTGTATGCAAAGGTTTTTGAGGAGGTAGTTTTGGCAAAACACCCTATCATTTGTTTGCTTTTTTCTCAATGATATATGCATCTGCATAATTTTTCCTGGTGGTTCTAAACCTTGAATTGATACCTTACATGGGTCCAAGTCCAGACGGATTCGCTCTCCCTCTCTCTCTCTGGTTATAGAAGCCTAATTTAATGAGCATATTAGGATTAAATCATTAGCTGGAGTCAATGCATAAATTGCAATCACAATGTGTACAGAATGTCATCATTCATGACATTTATGCTGGTTTTTTGAACTTTGATAGTGTAGCACTTCAATATTTTGCTGTGCCAAATCTTATGTTTGTGTCTGTCATGACATTAAGTTATTATTTTGTGCACTATTTGTACAGATTGCAAAAACTGGTTTTTCTTCTGAACCATAACATGCTGGCCAATTTTTCCCTCAAAAGTTACTTAGTCATGCACCTTACCAAGTTACGTGATACATGAATTCATGCATGTCCTAGAATTGTTGACTTTAGCATGCAAGTTCGTGTGATGCTCTTGCTTCTGGGGTATTATAGCATCTTAGCTGCATCCGTATGTCTCTTCCCTATATTTTCTGTGTCAAGATTTAGTGGATAACTGTGGGTCCAGATTCACGAATAATCAATTGCAATTTGCATGTAGTCTATACGTTTACCTGCGTTGTACTTTTGGAAAAAAAATTTTGGTTCTAAACTAAAAATTTATGTATGATATGAAGAAGGGTAACATTCAGGTTTATAGTGTAGTAGATCTATAATAGCACGCTTAAGTCATTTACACGGTAGTTGAATTGATGTCGGCGGTAACCTTTGTGTATCTTAGGCTGGTGCGCTGGATAAGCTAGAGGCATTTACAAGTTTCAATGGTCCGGACTTTTATGGGCTTCCAAGAAACACATCGAAAATCACGTTAGGGAAGACCCCATGGAAAGTTCCAGAATCATTTTCTTATGCATCAGGGCATGTCGTTCCAATGTTTGCTGGTGAAATGCTCGACTGGTTACCATCTCCTGTTTGAAAGTGGATGGTTTTCAGAAGATGACCATCAAATGAATGAATTTGAAATGAATTCTTTTCAAATCCACATTTTAATTACAGCTTTCTTCTCCATTCCTCTCAAATAAGATCACATCTTCGTCCACAGAAGTAGGGTAGTCATTTGGTCTGCGTGTTTCAATCTAGAATTTCTAGTGTGAGAATTGTCCTAGGATTTTCTAAGGAGAGATTCTCTCTCTCTAAGAATCTTTGTAGTTGACTCTATTTCATGTTTGTCGGCCACGAGTTCTGAATTTTGACGGCCCTATACCAAGTTTACCCTTTTACGGTGGTTTCGCTGCTGTTTCTCTACAGATTTTGGTCTTTTTATTGTGAATAGTACTTTTAGCGGTTGGGCAGCTGTTTGCTTCATATGTCTACCTAGATTTCTTTGGGTCTGGCGCCTTATGGCAAAAAACATATGATTCACAAACAAACAGCAACTTTAGCTGCTAAATTATTCTTCACAAGTTAAATAGTACCAACAACAAACAATAAAAAATTTATACAATTTATGCATTACTAATCAATATTTAATATTACAAAAATCAACACAACCTAGAATAATACACCTCAAATTATACTATCATATACACTGAGAAATCCTTCAATTAATCCAGTCTCACAACTTTTACCAGCATAAAATTAATCAGAACCAATAATCAAATCACAATTAGACAAATCGTAAATATATTGTAAACAATAAAAATACCAAAAAATAAAAATGCGAAACAATTAACCACTCTACGAATAGAAAAATATATCAAAATCATTATCATTCAAAACAATACAAAATATGACAAATTCATACCACATTACAAAAATTATATCACAAATTTTTACACATGTTCCAATACAAATTACATGTACATATAATTGATAAACGAATGGAGAAGGGTTGAATTGGATGGTTAGATGAGAGGAATGATAAGTAGGAGATTTTGGACCTAAAACCTCCAAATAATAATAATAATAACAGCCTATCATACCCCAAAATACACAAAAAAAACATATAATAATAATAATAATAACAATAATAATAATAATAACAGCCTATCATACCCCAAAAATACACAAAAAAAACATACAATATGGGCATCTCGCGACACCGCGGGGACCAATGCCTAGTTCCAATTTCATGCATTAACTCAAGACGACACTTTTATTTGGCAGGTACAATCCCTCAAGAGATTGGTTATCTTTATAACCTGAAACTATTAGCCATGGATTATAACCTCAGATTATATGATCTATCCCAAGAGAAATCTGGAATTTGACTCGGCTTCAGCGGCTCTATCTTGGGCACAACAACTTAACAGGTGTGACAATTTACTAACTACTTCAAGAGAAATATTAATAAGTTTTGCTTTGCTAACGGAGATGGTAACAATTTGAACTCCTATGTATTTCTATTTACTCCTTCTCTTGTCAAGTAAAAAGATTAACAAAGCCAGTCTCACAGTCCAGCATCTTTTATTGTTACAAAGGTTGATTATTCTGTTCCAACATATATATCCTTGCTTTATCTTGAATTTGGCAGGTATAATTACGCAAAGGCTTGGTGGTATTTTAAAGCTAATGCTGTTTAGTCTAGAGAATAACCAGATTGAAGGCTCTATACCAATTAGAGCTATTGGAAAATTGATTTCACTTAAAGAACTATACCTTGGTGTAAACAATTTAACAGGTATGGCACTTAAGAATAGCAATCATGAGACAACTGAAACTTTCTTGATCAAATAAACATGCTTCCGTTTGCAAATGATGTGTTTCTTCAGGATTGCGAAACATTCCATTTCAGGAGTTCTATCTGTTTTAATTTGGCAGGTGTAATTACCTATGAGGTTGGAAACCTACAAACATTGGAGGCGTTGAACCTAAGATTTAACAGTTTAAAAGGTTCCATACCAACCAGGATCTTCAACATCTCAACTTTAAGAGTGCTTTCACTTGTTGCCAACAGTCTTTCAGTTAATCTTCCATCCAATATGGGTTTAGGTCTGCCCAATTTAGAAGAACTTTTCCTCAGCTCTAATAACCTCAGTGGACTGTTGTACCTGACTCAATCTAAAACTCCTCTAAACTCACTCATGTAGAGTTTGCTCGAAACACAGTCTTAGAGAATCTACAATTTCTTGAATGCTTAGTGCTGTTTGATAACGATTTAACCAGTGAATCTTCATCTGTGGAGTTAAGCTTCTTCACTACGTTAACAGAATGCAGATACCTGAGAAAAATTTCAGTGGCTAATAACCCGTTAACTGGTATTCTTCCAGTTTCTATAGGAAACCTTTCTTCTTCTATAGAAGACATTTATGCAGGTGGCTATAAAATGAAGGGAAGAATTCCAAAAACTGTTGGCAATCTAAGCAATTTGAGAGTGCTAGGTCTACAAGAGAATCCCTTGCCTGATAGTTTGTGTAGCTTACAGTACTTGAATTTATTGCTTCTGATTGGAAATCAATTCCTGCATGTTTAGGTAATCTTACTTCTCTCAGGTATCTTTATCTAGCTTCCAACAGAATAACTTCTCATGTGCCTGACAGTTTCTGGAGCCTCAAAGATCTCTTGGGATTTATTCTGTCATCGAATTTCTTGACTGGCTCTCTACCTTCAGAGATTGGACTGTTGAAGGTTGCAACATGGATAGATTTTTTGATGAATCAGTTCGCAAACAACATTCCCAGCAGAATTGGAGATTCAGAAAACTTGAATCCTCTTTCTTTGGCATATAACAACTTTGAAGGTACCATTCCTGAGTCAATCAGTAACATGCTAAGTTTGGAATATTTGGACCTATCATGAACACTTCAATCTCTCAGCTACTTCAATGTCTCTTTCAATTATTTACAGGGGCAAATTCCATCTAACGGCCCTTTCAAGAATTTCACTAGTGAATCTTTTATCTCCAATGATGTATTATGTGGATCATCTAGGTTTCATGTTCCAGCAAGCCAAACACTTCAATTCACAGATCGAGGACAAAGAAAGTGCTTCAAACTAAATTGATAGTGTTTGGAGCTTCAGCAATAATTGCTGGTATTGCCTTGGCATTTTTGTTCGTTCGGTACATAAAGACGGAGAAGGTTCCTAATGGAACTAATTTGTTCTCCTTGACAGCAAAAGGAAGGATTTCGTATTATGAACTCCTACAAGCAACCAATGGTTATGATGAAAGCAACTTACTAGGAAGTTTTGGATCTGTTTACAAAGGGATTCTAGCTAATGGAATGTATGTGGCCATAAAGGCGTTCAATTTACAGTTGGAATATTCATTCAAGAGTTGCACCAGAGAATCAGAAAGTCTTATGCATTCTTAGGCACAGAAATCTGAATGATGACTTTAAGAGATTAATACATGATTAGATGCCCAGTGGGAGCCTTGACTTGAGAAGCGGTTGTATTCTTACAATAATTGCTCAAGTATCATCCAAAGAATGAATGTGATGATAGATGTGGCATCTGCATTGGAGTATCTCCATCATAGTTACTCAATTCCCGTTGTTCACTGTGATTTGAAGCCAAGTAATGTCCTTCTAAATCGACTTTATGTCCATTCTTAGAAATTGACTTCTTCCTCTGTGACAATTTTTCTTGTTTTCCCACACTTCCTATGTCATCGTTCTCCTCCAGTACATGACCAAAAAGCTAGAGCTAGGAAGTTATGTAAGCGCCCACCTATTACTTTTCTTGATCTGCAGGCCTTCAACTTTGTTGAATTGAACCAGTAGTGTAAGTCCTCCATCAGAGTGTGCAGCGATGAGACACATTACCTTGATACATGCTGTTTAGTATCTCTGGTCTGTCCACCCCAAGAATCGTGACCATCACTTTAACAAGGGTTATGTAGACTTCATGCAATTCAAGTGAGTATTCATCCAAGGTTGGGCTGATATCGTTCAGACAAATGCAAAAATAGCACACCACTGTAGATATATATAGAGTTACAAACTTCATAATATTGATACTTCATCCAGGGAACATACTTGAATTTGGACAACTAGACACCACCGCCGATGTAACCCTAGGAATCTGACTTGGACTAGCCTAGTAGGCTAGTACTTACACTACTAAAGTATAAGAAAGGAAGTTAACTAAGGACCAGAGTTGGACAACCGACCTTAACATAAAAAAGTAAACAGATAAATAACGTGCAACTGGAAACTTCCATGAAGGCATATTGGTAATTCATTAAGCTTGGTTTATAATGAAGATGAAAAAAAAAAAACAGTAGTCCTGCAAGTGAAAATGCGCTGATTCTTTCACTTGTTTATCCTCATGTGATCCAGTAAGCTTTTGCCATCCAGTTAGCTGCTTAGATACAGTCTGAGAAGGCTTTCGGTTTCTGTTGTCTTGTATTGTGGTCCAATTTCTTTGACAAGATCTGCTAGAGGGCCAACTTTTGCTGTGAAATTTGTTCCGTGAAATGCAGCAATTGAAAGTCTTTCTTTGTGGAAATCCACGATAGCTCTATGCTCAATGCTGCTATATTCCTCATTGCTCATTCTCTGCACAAATCATCGAAGCACATCAACTCAATGATACCTGTAGATGCTCAGTAAGTAGGAATTTGGTTTTGGTGGTCATTTACTCCATAATATCACCGATATTGATGATGATTGCTCCAGGAATGGGTTTAATAGGCACCCATGTATCGCTTTTCTTGATTTGCAGGCCTTGAACATCATTGACCTGAACTAATAAGGTCAGTCTTGTTGCATCAGAGTGCGGAGTCAGGCCAATAACTTTGTCTGCTTGCTGGCAAGGTGGATAATAATTCATTCTTATTCCCTGTATGCCATCTTGATAGATGCTGCATAATTTGTCTGGGTCTACACCAAGATTCGCCCCCATAAGTTTAAACAGGGTGATGCAAACCTTGTGCATTTGAAGTGAGTATTCATCCATGGTTGCTCTGTCATCATCAGAAATTTGCAAATTAGCATAGAGAAGTGGGAAAAGATTGTGATGCTGTGTATTATCCATTGTCTACTTGAAAGATACTGGAGTCGTAGGCCAGAATCTCATATTTCTCTGAGAAACTGGCAATGCACGGAGGAAGAGCATGTCCCCCCGGTCAAGCTTTTGACCATATCCTCTGATGCCACAAATATTTGACCATATCCTTCAACATCATTTGGTAGTTGTGCATAGGCCGAGTCACACCGAATTACTCCGAGTCATCTCAAGTTAACTCAAATTTTTATTATTTTTACTAATTTTTTAATTATTTTTTTTATCATATTTTTTGTAATTTTAGACTATTAAATATTTCAAAAATTCGCGTCTCGTCGAGACTGTGACCGATACATCGAGACCGATGTGAAACGATCCGGATCGCGACTGCAATCGCTACCGCGACTTTGAACCATGGCTGTAATGGCAGCTTAAAGAAGTCCTCTGTCACCAACTTCATTTTCTCAAGTACTGTGGTAGCCCCATGATTAATTAACTGTGCAAGATTGAGTCACGCACTGTTAGTCGCTACTTTACTAGGAAAAGTAAGCTATGTATCTGAATCTGATCATTACAAGTAAATCTGATCATTACAAGTAGTACAATTAGGATTCTATATGTGATGGATTCTCTTGATTTGTTACCTGAAAGAAGCCCCAGTCTTTACAAGCCCGATGAAGTTTTGCCATTAACTCAATGACAATACAGAAACTGGCATTTGTTTACAGCTAGATGCTCAGATGGAGAAGATCAGCCGTCGCACTGAAAATTTGAAGGAATGACAAATTGCTAACTGCTAATTCAGCAGTTGGCCAGCGAATATGAAATTTGATGAGGTGCCTTTCACATTTTCACAGATGCTTCACGAAATGTAAGAGATTTCAGATTTCTGAGTAATTTGTAATCTAAACACCCTTAGAAACATGTGAGATGATTAATCCAATAAACGTAATAAAATCCTGTATCAACCTGGCCTAATTTCACTGCATAGTCATTCCTTCTGCTTAGTTCAATGTGATTAATTCATAAGTAATCATACAATTGATAAATATGAGTTGCTCAATGACAATCGTAAAAGAATTTAAGGCCAGTGGCACATCTCACAATCATTTTAGTTGTTATAGATTCGCTAGTAAAGAATTTGTGTTGCTAATTACTAATTACCATGCCACCATCACCAATATTGATTGCAAAAGTGATTCAATATAATCTCCCTGGAAGGGGGAAGAAAAAACAGAGAATTTTTTAGCAATTGTATAGGAACATACTAAAAACACAGAGAAGAGAAGATGATTTGTATGTAACCTAAGACAAGAGGCAACAATCAGCAACTTTTGGATTGAAGAAAAAAAAATGAACATAAAAAAGATGAGACCAGTAGAACGATTATTTGTTATTTTTGATGTACTTTGAAAGCAAAACCGAAACCAAAAACACATATTATTATAGTAAAAAGAATTGAAAACTAACAAAATTCTTACGGAGAAGGAAGGGAAGAGTTTGACTAATTAACCGTAGTTAGTAAGATAAGTGTGAGATTAATACCAATTTATTGACTAAGTACATATCGAATAACAGCAACTATAGTTGTAATGGTAGAAAACCATCATTATCAAACAATTATATCTCTTTCATCACACGTACACACTAGTGTGTATGAGCCTAAAAGTTAAAGCTGTCATTTAATTTTATTGATAAATATGTGAAGGAAGAGCAACTAAATAAAGGCCCCCAAAGTCATTTCACAAATACCGCAGCATCATCCACTTGTACACTCTTCTAAACCGATTGGCCCATCAAAATTCAAATGACTTAATTAACCCTCCAAAAGCAGATAAAATTTTTTGAACAGTACCCTCTGCAACTGCTTCTTGTTTATGTACAGGATTCATATTCACATAGACCAATTAGGCAACTTTGGATCCACCCCTTATTTGGAGCACTACCAAATAGACATACCCTTTACATGTATACACTCTTAATTGCTAGTATTTTACTACTTATATGTGAAATAAGTTCACAAAACTTGTATTTTAGATGCCAAATTTGCCCGTGGTAACTCTAATTAATCAATCTGATACAACGGAATGACTAAAGATATCTATTTCTCATTCTAGAAAATGGGGATTCTGCTTCTTCCCTATCTATCCACCCTCACATTCTTTACCCAAAAGGAAAAAAGGGATGACTGAAGAATCGCAGGCATCACTGAATTTAGTATTGCTTTCTGGGCAGATAGAAAATGCATGAGCATCTGCCACTTGACAGCTTGGTGCTAAGGCTCGGCGGCGGCATCTCTATCTCTTTTGTCTTCTCGCCTAGCTATTTACCAATGTTAACATTGTAATATTGCACATGGGAGCGTGGGCTATAAATAACTTATGCTAATAAATTTTACTTCTGCTAATAATCTTTTTTAGTAGTGAAGTGGAACTCGCATTCATTTCCAGCTAGTGTAATTAATTGAAAAATTAAAAAGATGAGAATTATGCGAGCAGCCAAGAACCAATGCAGACGATAAGATATAACAACATGTGGGCAATCATAAACGATTGGTTGGCTTTTTGTTTGAATAATGTAAGGGTTAGCAAGTGTTTAAGTTCCACTGTGTTAAAAACCAGAATATGAAAAGGGAATCTCTAATCAACTTCCTTCTTTGAAATGAAGGAAGTTTTTAATAGATAAGATTCGAATCCTTAACAAATTCCTTTTTATTTGAGTACGACATCATTTGACCAAAAGAAAAACATGATAATAAGAGTAATAAAGAGTAAAACCTCATTTAGCCAGAAAAGCATTTCAATTATCTATATACCTACCATTCATTTGAAAAAGAGATGGGCGACGGGTTAACGGGTGCGCCAGTAGGTGGGAAACACGACTCTTTTGACATTTGAGGGTAATTTATAGATTTCTCGATTCCTTTCAGCATTTCATTCATAATTTTCTATTCTTTTCCAAATTTGGCTACTCTCCTGTATTCCTTGATAGAATAAAAGCAAATTACACCAAATGTCTTTAAATTATTCACTTGTACTAATTTTGGTTACCAAATTAATTTCTTAGCAGAAAATATCACTAAACTAGCCAAATTGGAGACTAAAGAGAAGCCTAAGAAAAGGAAATGAAAAACCTACCAGTAACAAATCTTACCACTAAACAAATTCAAATCACCGATGTAATAAACTAGAACAATGTTAATAACAATAACTTACTAACTTACAAATCACAGAGGCTTGATCTTTGATCAATGTCATAAATTAGAATTTTGCTCCTTCCCTTTGTGCGGAAGTGTATGAGTAATCTGTTCCCAGGATTCAACTGTGAATTCTCCCTCAAACTTGCACAAAAAATTTAGGAAGTCTATGAACTCTGTGTTTTCACTTTTCTCTCAAGATGATTCAATGGAACTTCTGCAGAAGCTTTTGATGCAACAAAGGAATTAAAGGTTACCAACTTTCTGTTCTACTAGCATATATTTATAGACCAAAAGTCATGACTTCCCAGCCGAAAGTCAAGAAGAACCTAATCTGGAAAAAATATAGAATCATAACTTTTAAGAAAGAAACTTCCTAGACCAATGAAGGTTTTAATTCAAACCTCATTTTCAACAATACCCCACATTTGAATTAAAACTTCAAAAATAAATATAGTAATAATATACTCTTGAGAGAAAATTAACATGTTGTGCATCAGGTGAAGTGTCGTAAAAGACTTGAACTTTACCTTAGTGAGAGTGTACCGGAGTTACTTGATGGTGCAGTGGATATAGCTGATCTTGAACTTATCACCATTTGTAGTAACCAAGACAATATACTACATACACAACCATGTTTAAATAGCACAGTAGTTCACAACGTTGTTGTTCAAATTTTGGTCCTGAACAAATCCCGGTTTCATGATAGCTTTAGAGAACTTAACTATTATCATTCTCATAAATGCGACCGCACATTTACTATCACATAGGTAACTCTACTATAGGTTCTGAAGAACTCTTATAGTTGTCATTAAATGCTTACGCATACCCTACAACAGTCAACAACAACACATGTTTATCATAGAAATGAGCAACTCATGTGCTTTACTTATTTGAGTATGATCCAACCAGTTTGCCTATTGAACCTAGACCATGGGATCTCCAATCTGCTAGGTTAGGTTTCCACTGGATTTTACTCATTAATTGGCTTTAGAACCATTTCCCTCGATAAGAACTTGACTTGCTCTCTTGGTAGGCCTTTAGTCAAAACATCCGCTAAATTTGCCTTTGATCTTATGAATTGAATGGAAATAAATCCATTCGAGAGCAACTGTCTAATTGTATTGTGTCTGCGCCTAATATGCCTTGATTTACCATTGTACACACTATTTTTAGCTCTAGCTTGAGCAGCCATACTATCACAATGTATACAAATGGCTGTGACAGGCCTTGGCCATATTGGAACGTCCTCTAGAAAGTTTCTAAGCCATTCTGCTTCTTCAGCAGCTTTATCCAATGCTACAAACTCTGATTCCATAGTAGAACATGCAATACAAGTTTGTTTTGAGGACCGCCATGATACTGCTGCTCCACCTAGTGTAAATATATATCCACTAGTCGACTTGGTTTCTGTGTCATCTGAAATCCAGTTAGCATCACTGAATCCTTCTAGAACAGGAGGTTACTTTGTATAGTGTAGTCCATAATTTGAAGTAAACTTCAAATATCTTAGTATTCTATTTAATGCTTTCCAATGGTTATATCCTGCACTACTTGTATATCTACTTAGCCTGCTTACTGAATAAGCAATATCAGGTCTAGTTGTGAGGACTCGAAAATTTTTATTATTTTAAAATCCCTAATTTTGGCTCAATTCATTATTTATTTGGATTTTTGCCACGAATAATATTTTCTAGCCTTTTCAGACTTAAGTACATGGTTTTATAGTTTCGTTATATTTCTAAAGTGTCTCATTTTAAAAATAAATAAAATAAAAAAATAGATAAATAAACAAATATTTTCTTATAAGCTTGTTTAGCGAAAAAGTGAAAAC